TATCATCTCTAGAAGTGATGGCCAAAATCAAACATATGACTGTAAAAAATCTGTTGCACTAATTTGCCTCCTCCTTTGCCTCTATTTTCAGTTATCTTTCTCATCTTCATCTCTTTTCTTCATGATGTTCTACAAGGTGGTTTATAATGATTTGAAATTTAGCAGTTCGTAATGAAGTACAGTAAAATCATGTCATCCTTGCTGTAAGGGTATTTTACAAGTATATTTAAGCATAAATGAAGTCCTTTGAAGAAGGATGAAATCATGTAAACCCAACCACTCTGAAATGCAAAGAACATATCATTAGAATCCACATGGTAAAATCACTCACTTGGCTGATCATAAATTGTTTTCATAACATCCTTCTTACTCGATACTGAAGGGAAGTTGGAACGTCTGATATGCAAGCTATGTTAAGTATTATGTAGATTAACCATATGCATGTCAGTTTTGTGATTTGGTAATCTAAAAACAGAAAATTTGGTGAAATATACATTTTCGTTCGGCGGGTTTTTGATTTTGCTTCATTTATCAACTCAGTTCAGGTATTTCGGTTGAGCCAATCACTGAATCCTGTCACCAAACGAATCTTGAGTCTCTTATACAGCATATGGAATACCATCTGCAGGTAAAATGACATTAAGGTAGTAAAGAGAAGAGAAACAAACATACCTTGGCTTTCCTCCGACATTTCGAATTTTGCGCATCTTGTCGAGTCTTTGATCACGCACTTTTAAAAGTAGGCGATCACTGTACATACAGTGATTATGAACACGTCTTAACTGTTTTGTATCCCATGGGTCTGTTATGATAGCTAAGATTCAATCAGTAAATGTTTTATAATCACAAAGACAACACAGACACATTTGCAGACAAGATTATATCATGAGAAAGAGAAAAAATTCAACTCCTATCACTAAAATGTCTCCTAAAAAGGCATACATCTGACATTCTGAATGCCCTTGATATTTTGAAGGATTATACTGTATAATACATCATCTCAAATGAACACTCATGAGAAATTCTTTTTACTTGAAGAAGATTTGTATCTAATCAAATATCATCCTGCTATATCAAGCTTCAGACTGTCCTCAACGTAGTGATTGAGCGTGGGAACCGACGATGCTCAAACATTGCTAATGCTAAAATTCCCAAGAAACCATGATATGGGATGAGTCATTTGATAAGCATAAGATTTCATATGATACTATCATATACTCATATATCATATACAGTGTATTACAAAGTTTTTGCCAAAATATGAGTTATTTTTACTAAAATAATGAAATTGTTCAAAATGTAATAAAACATAGCATATAGGCTATAGGCCTATTATAATCTCATCAACAACATGTATTGTTTTCTGACTTAGTATTAAGTGTTCAATATAGTGAACTGAACAATGAAAATCCCCCCAACCAACAATATCCTCAAAATTTGAACACTTGCCAATTTGAACGCTTTTTGCCGGTCCTGTGGGTGTTCGGATTAGACAGGTTTTACTGTAGTCAGATTTGAACTTTTGAGAACTTGTACATGTACATGTGTAGATGATTTTGAAAAAAATTGGTCAATTTGAAGCAAGTTGAGAAAAGACCTTTTTGACCTATTTAAACTTTTTTGACCTTGAGAAGGTGAAATCTAAAGTCAGATTTGAACATCTGAAAACTTGTAGATGATTTTGAAAAAAATAGTCAGTCTAAACAGTACTCTCGGGCAATACAATATATTAAAGATATAAGCTGATATCCAGACACTACATCAATTTTACATAACATGGCTAGGCTATATTTAGTATATATCATTAATAAATTAAGACAAATGAAAAACTATTTAACAAAATGGACTTACAGGCAGTTTGACAAAGCAAACAATAATATTTCAAACAAAACAAACAATAATATTTCAAACAAAGCAAACAATAATATTTCAAACAAAGCAAACAATAATATTTCAATCAAAGCAAACAATAATATTTCAAACAAAGCAAACAATAATATTTCAAACAAAGCAAACAATAATATTTCAAATAATTCAAGATGTATTCATTTAGTTTATATATTTCCCTTCAAGTAATTCTTTGGACTTAAGCATAATGGGGTAAAGGTAGAGTTGTCAGGGGGATGAGTTAATCAGGGGATGAGTTGTCCAGGGGATAAGTTGATCAGCTACTGAGTTGTCCAGGGATGAGTTTTCTAGGGGATACAGTTATGGCTGTCATCACAAAGAATTGCTATCTTAATTACCCTAACACTATTTGATTAACAACCCTTGAAAAAAGAGGTGATGATTTACTCTCAAAAACAAGAAATTTTAATATCAGTAACATTTGTAACAAATAGTATGTTTCTAAATAGTTGAATAAAGCTGACATAATAGATGTCACCCTTGTCATTCTTCGTTTTGCTTGGGCCAGACTCCCATAGCCATTGTTATGATCTTGCAATAGTCACTTGATTTAATGATTTATAAAAAGGTGTTGGTTGAATCTGTCTGAAACTCAAATGGCATACTATGGGATGACCCTGTCAATGTACCTATTGTGATTAATCATGAAATTTTTGGTTTTCAAACTAATTAACCAAGGTTTTAAAGAATCTTGGCATTGCATCGATGGAGATTTGGCCCAAGTTTTTTTAAAACGTCTTAGAAAATGATTTAAATTACATAACTGTATAAATCAAAGTTATTATTGTAGAAATTTTTCACTGAGTTCAAATATGCTATTAAAAGTATAGAAAAGTTAGTTGTTAGAAGTTACAAGTGCAAATATCTTAAAATCTAATGAAAAAACGCAAATGAGAATTAGCGAGATTTCAAAGTGATGGAAACTCCTCTATTAGCTTAAACAAACAGTTGCTTTTAATGCTACTGTCATCCTTCAAGATCAGTCCTTCACTGCTTTCATAGCAGATCATGTAATGCAATGAATTACTCTTGGGCCAAGGATGTGCTACTGTCAGTATATACTGTAACACATTTGATTTCTAGTATCTATCAATCCATACAATACTGTCTATTGCACTTGTGAAACGAAACATATGACACATTTCAAAATTAAATTAATTGTTTCTATTGATTTTTCAGTCTGTCCTATGCTTATCTTTCAATCGAAAATACACCAAGAGAGTGTGTTTAATTGTCCATTCATGCTAATAACCAAGTTATACAGTTCAATTTAATTAGATTGTTTCTTTATCAAGGACCCATAGCCCCTATGCCCACACAGTTCAGGCTTTATAGCATACGGTAACTGAACACCTGCCTAATCTGAACACCTTCCAATCTGACAACCTTTTTTCAGTCCAACTTTTTCCTCATATTTAAATCCCATGTTCAAGAAACCATGAAATGTGGACGAAAATTCTCCCAATTTGAGCAGTGAATAGTCATACATACATATCTGATGTGTAATCTGAACATTTTTCATTAAATATCACACGTTCACACATTATTGGTCAAATATTTTTCTATTAATTTCTATTATGATATCCAACTTTTGAAAAAAACATAATGTGTCTTTGTAACATGACTGATAAATGCATTTGAATCAGATTTTCAAATTATTACAATGCAATAAAGCTATATGTGGTCAAAAGAACTATAGATATTTATTGAGAATGTGTTCACATTTCTTCAACATCCAAAATGTAAAAAATCTCAAAATGTGAACACCTCCTTATATGAACACTATTAGCCAGGCCCGATGGCATTTGGATTAGAAAGAGTTTTAATGCACTTTTCTTTTACCTTTAGTAGAAAAATGAAAACGAATGAATTATAAAAGTCGTTGGAGCCCATAGACAATTTTGATGTCATTAGAAAGGCTATCTTTACTGTATTCTTAAAAATATCTTGCAGGACTTAGACATTTTTATCAATTTCACTCTAAACTGAAACGTATAAGGTCAAGAGGCGAAGTCTCACAAGTTGTTCAGATATAAATGAGCAAAAGCTTAAATTCACATGCTTTTCCATACAGAAACTCGTAATACAGACTCCACCTTTTTGCCCATATAAGGAAAATTTGCGATTGTTGCCAGTAAGCAGGAAAGAGAGGACCTATCAAAGAGCTCTTCTCTGGTGTGAACGCATCCTATGGGTACTTTTAGGAACCTTGTTTTTTGTAAACTTTTGGTAGGTAAAAGATTGTTCAGGACGGCACAATGTTTTCAACTGAGTGCAAAACTTCACCTTTAGCACCAACATGGTGGTCTAAAGGGTTCAACTGGGCACAGTGTCTGGCCAAAAGTGGCTCAGAAGATCACTGAGTCACTGTATATAACTATACATGGCTCACCCATCTACAGGGTGAGCCAAAAATAGGTAACCCAAATAAATCATATTTATTTGGGTTTAATCATATTTGGCATGATTAAACATTGTTCAATGTTCTTTCATTCCCCCAAGCTTCATTGGTCTATCCCCAATGGTCATGATCTCATGGCCATTTACAAAACATGCTCCAAATGCCGAAATGGGCAACACTCACTGGATATGAAACACCCCGGATTTTTGTATCTGTGGGGCTAATTTCTATACTAACAACCCTTGTCTGTGCTTGCGTAGTGAACAACTACACCGGGTGCATTCACGTTTGCCTCCAGACTCCATGTCAGAATTTTAGAGCATGTTTTGTAAAATGGCAATAAAATTAGACTTTTGGGGATAGACCCATAAAACCCAGTATGAAAGAACATTGAACAAAATTTAATTTTGTCAAATGTGATTTCAACCCATGCTCAATGACTGACTTACTAACATTTGTTTGGCGCAATTTGAAAAAAATATGTTTTTATATGTACCAGAACTTAAAAGAATGACTGTTGCAAATGTCTGAATGAATGGAGGTGGTGTGAAAAATATCTGAACTGTTCTAATAATTTTTGAATAGAGAATAAAAAAAAATAAAACATTTGTTTGGTTACCTCTTTTGGCTCACTCTGTTACTGGTAGCAATAATTGACCATAGATACTAACTATGCATGTAATGCATTTACCTTTAGCATTTTTCTTGTTGATATTGATGGTTCGTTTATAAGGACTGCCACTGTTAGAGCTCCCAGCTGGGGAGTTAGGGATCAGTTTCTTCTTTATACCAGCTCCCCTAGTCTTCCTATCTAAGCTTTTACTGTTGGTAAGGTCCCTGGAATAATATGTTTATTCACTGACTTAAACTTTCTAGTTGGATAAAATTGTAATGATGTATCCAATTTTTATTATCTTGTTCACAAAAAAAATCTTGTTCACAAGTCATGAGGTTTTTTTATTACCCAACTTACAATGATTCATTATGTTTACAATAAAAATCATATTATATTATTTGGTGACACAATTTATCTAGTTTTGTTACCTCATTGTAAACGAGTAGAGACAAGTTTGGTGTTTGTAGTTCTAGTTCACAGAATTAAGCTAAGTATACCATTTAAAGGCTAGAAAGTATTATACATGTTCTCTAGCACATTAAAAATAGGCTTCATGGAGCAACAAGAAGTTTCAGATCACTAGTTTAAGTACAAATGTACATGCACTTTTATGCATAAAAGTTCATACTTTTGAAATGAAGGGGGAGAACATATTTATTTGACACCCTGTAGTTGATCCCACAAAGGCCCTCATAAATAACGGTAGGTAGAATTGGATGCAGTAATCCAAAATTGTATAAAAGTGGAATTTCGATTATGATTTTATAATAAACATATGAACAAACTACAAAGATAAGAACAAGAGCAATAAAAAATGTCCTTGGAAATTTTCTACACTTCAAATGAGCTATTGCTTGTAAAAATTGTAAATTTAGAATAACAGGTGGGGCTATTAATTATTGTACATACGGGGTCATGATTTTCTTGGATGGTGTGCTCAATGGTGTGCTTCTTTCTCGTTTTATAGATGTCTCTCCTATCCCTTTTAGGTGTGGTAGCAAATAGAAGTACTGAGACACCTAAAATAAAAACATTTAAAACCTCAGGTATAAATGTTCATGAATTCTCAAAATGCCTAATATTCTGAATTACTATAATACTACACGTATGATAAATGTACTGTACTTCACGTACAATAAATGTACTGTACTACATGTACAATTAATGTGCTGTGCTACATGTAATGTACTGTGCTACATGTACAATTAATGTACAGTAATACATAATTAATGCCCTGTACTGCATGACTATTTCAAAAGGCTTATACATAAACTTAATTGGACTCAATGTGTATTTTCAGCATTCATTGCTAAATGAAGTCTTACTTTTGATCTTCATAGTATTTCTGGTGGATTGAAAAGTTTTGTTTGAATCTGTTTTTTCATTGGACACCAAAAACAACTCAAACAGACAACTTCAGAGTTTACAATTATCAAAAAATATTTTTGATCTGTCAATTTTCATATACCAAGTATTTAGCAATGTCAATGAAAGATGGCGAAAGTCACATGATTCATTCATTTTGATAGAATTGTCAACCATACGCCATCTTTTAAATCAAGAGTTATTTAAAAAACATACACTTTGTGAAAAATGGGCATGTACAACTATGGATCTCTGAACTTCAAATGCAGTGTTCTTTGTGAGTTGTTTTTTCTCATCTCAGTTTTAACCCAAATTAAGGTTTATATCAAATCCGATTGAGTGTGTGAGTAACATGTTTCAAAGATAATTCCATCCTTTTTTCTCCAAAAATATACATATTGCGTTTTCTTTATATGTACAATATTATAAATGAAAGAATTCTCTATATTCTCTCTGAACTTGTGATGAGATACTACACATAAAGACTACATTTTCCCTCTCAGATTCCAGAGTAATGGCTACTCACTATTTTCTTCAGAGATACTTGATCAGTTTGTTCAATACAAGGAGGCAGTAGGCTTTCATCATATCTCTCAAACATATTCAGGAACATATCGCACATATGTAAGCTCAGCCAAGCAGGCTCTAGGGTTTGTAGAAACAGTTCTAAGCTGCCAATGTTCTCAGAAAATTCATCTGAAAATAAGCATGTAAAGTCAATATATGTGAAAAAACATTAAGAATCGCACATATGTAAGCTCAGCCAGGCAGGCTCTAGGGTTTATAGAAACAGTTCTAAGCTGCCAATGTTCTCAGAAAATTCATCTGAAAATAAGCATGTAAAGTCAATATATGTGAAAAAACATTAAGAATCGCACATATGTAAGCTCAGCCAAGCAGGCTCTAGGGTTTGTAGAAACAGTTCTAAGCTGCCAATGTTCTCAGAAAATTCATCTGAAAATAAGGATGTAAAGTCATTATATGTGAACAAACATATGGTATCGCACATATGTAAGCTCAGCCAGGCAGGCTCTAGGGTTTGTAGAAACAACTCTAAACTGCCAATGTTCTCAGAAAATTCATCTGAAAATAAACATATAAAGAGTATATTATATTAGGTCAAACATGTTAGGCAACGCACATATGTAAGCTCAGCCAGGCAGGCAGCAGGCTCTAATGTCTATAAAAGCTGTACTTTAGGCGCCTATATCTTATAAAGTTCAACTTATGGAGTATGGATTTCTAGACATCGTAACGGTGTTAAAACAAAGCATTAACATGCAAAAGGTCACCACCTGCCATTTGTTACAGACTCCGAACACTGACCACTGAACAGAGTCCAGAAAAGTTTGGAGACTATAACAATATGTTACCACTTCTGGTGGCGGCATAACATACATGTACTAACTAGTGTTCTTCTGAGGACAAACTGAAGACAAATATGTTCACACGTGAATTAAGATCAAGTATGCAAGTTATTTAGCCAAGCTGACTATGTACAAAAAGCTCCAAGTTGCAAAAATATACTTGGTGGTCTCAAAAAAACTAGAAAATTAAAATTGGTGAATATCACTATTTTTAGGACAAGGCATTAACATACAAAATGATTCCAACCACAAAATGCCAAACATAGTCCAAAAAAGTTGGAGACTATAAGTTGGAGACTTTTATTACAGATGCCGAATGCCAACTCCAAGTGCCGAATGCTAAACACCAACTGCTGAATGCCAAACACTTGTGGTAGTGACATAAAAACCAGGACTATATTTCTGGTGCGGTTTTAATTATGTAAATGTGTAAGTACACTCACCGAGAAGCCTGTTCGCAAGCTGTTGTATGAACACCTTCGTCATAATCCCCAATGAATTAAATGAAGAATTCTGATTGGCTGGTTTGTCCACTAGGTGGCAACATTGGGCTACCATAGCAACAAGACGCTGAAGAAGTTGTACCAGTGATCTCTGGAAAATGGAAATCATTAAAAGAAAATGTAAAAGTCACAAAGGGCATTTTTCTGGAATTATCATAATTGTGAATTGCCATCGTAACAGCTTGAAAAACAATTGAAATGTGATCAGCTTTCAATTGAATAATTTAGATTCTCTTGCATACCTAGTCTAGACCTTAAAGTCCTTTCTCCCATGCCCACCTCAACTCAGAACCTGACCCCTACCCCTTCAAATATTTTTACCGCTACTAGTGCAATGCTTCAAATTCACTATTTGTGATAAACACTACATCCATTATCATTTTAAACAAAAAATAATTCAAAAAGAGTAAATGACAAAGTGGAATAAATGAATATACATGAATGAAATCAGAAACTTGCCTAGCATTGCTCCTTAAATCTTAGCAAACAGCGGCAACCATAAACAGCCGTAGCTTCCCAAAATCGAGAGAAATATGCAGCATATAATATAGGGGCATGATGTTGATTTTCTATATTGTTTTTGTGAAGCTACGGCCGCTGTATACCCCGCTGTAGAGCAGAAGTGACGAGACTTTATATTTATAGCAATTAATGTAATTCTATTGATTATATTGGGATTACCTTAGCTGGGTTATGCTGAACTATTGAGATTGCACTGATCAACTCAATAATCAATTGCTTGATGTTTGACCTGAAACTTCCATGTGGTGTGTCACCAGGCCAGAAGACCTGAGCTATGATGCTGCGTCTGTGTGTCTTACGTGGCGTGTCACTGAAAAATCATGTTACTTTCATATTTAATCAAGTCACTTTTATTCTTTAAAACATCACTCCATTTCTCAATGATTCATTTTCAATTTTCCATATTTGACTTTTAATTCAATATTGAATTTCTACATGTTCATCACAGATTTTGTGAATATCAAATTTTTCCATTGTTTATAACACATGATTTTACCTCTGTATATAGTGTTGAAAGTCCACCTCCAACATGCCGATTATGTATCTCAATATTTGCTCATTATTGTTGGACTTTTGTTCCCCTTTCATAGGACCTTTTTGTTGGGCAATGCAGTTGTCATTCTCTTCTTTTATAATAACATCATCTTCACTAACTAGGGCTGAACTAAAATGTCATTCAAAGTAAATAATAAATAACAAGTAAAATTACAAGGCATTAACATGCAAAATGTCACCACCTACCATTTGTTACAGATGATGAATTGGGCCAATTGTTACAGATGCTGAATGCCGAACCCAAGCAAAAAAATACCGAACAGAGTCCATAATAAAGTTGGAGACCATAACAATATGTCACCACTTTTTTTTATGTCACTCCTTGTTATAGTGACATAACTAATAGAAAGGACGTTCATGGACCAGAAAGTTTTTGATAATTATCACTTGTCAATTTCCAATGCATTTCTAGCATGTACATATAGTAAATTAATTGAGGGTTAATAGTGGGCATAATTTGATATCAGTCTACTTCAATGAAAGCACTCTTTTATAGATGGATAATGGTTGACAGTCACATTGACAAAAACAGTCAGGAATATCATGTTAAAGGCCAAGGGATATAATGAGCTAACAGAAGTGGGAATATCCCAGAAATCATTGATGACCCTATCTCTATATGAAGATGAACTTCTAAGAGGTTCATCTTAACATAGAGATGAATTCTGGGGTATTTTCCTCCCCTTGTGATAGTAGGTAATTAAAGACTTGGGTTCCTCCTATAACTGTGTCCAGGATGTTCATTGGCTTATTTCTGATCACATGACATACTAATTCCTTGTGGGTGAGGATGTTAAAGGAAAAAGCCTATCTATTTTATATCATGTGACCTTAAGTAAGCCAATAAGCATGGGAAAATTCATGAAATATGGGGAATAGAATAATACCCTCTAAAGCCCAGTCTCGTACAATGCTGCAAACCTGTGCACTGTCTTTTTTAACACATCTAATTTCTCAAAATAACATAGCAACACATAATATAACAACAAAAAGCAAAAAAGTATAACTACAACAGTCAAACAATAACAACAGTAAAACATCCATAAAGGAACTCACTAATAGTTAAGACTACATTGAAGACATGATCTAAAAGGAGAAATTCAAATTATTGACAATAATTTCATTTATGGCAATGTGAGAGTCGGTTAAGGTTTAGGTATGAACAAGCCCTAAGAAGACCATTCCCCGGTTATCCCAGGTAAATGTTTCTGGTAAGTTACACTGAACGAAACATCAAGCTTCAGATCTCGAGAGTACGAGATGAGACTTCAGACGAGATATCGATAGGATTGTAGTTGGAGGGTTTTCTCCCTAGGTGCGTACAAAATCCATTAACATCAATGTAAGTTATACATTTCGATTCTTTTTATCGACATTTATCTCTTGTATATACATTTATCTATCGCTGAATCGTTTTGTGAAAGTTTTATCGTAATATTTCACACAAAAAACGCCAGTTTAAAAATGTTCAAAAAAAAAAAAATTTCAAACACGTTTTATCTTTTGTCTTTATGACTTTGTAGTATTATGTTTGAAGTATTCAATTGATATCTCGTACATATGGTTTAAAACTTGAATTTATACAAAAGAATTAATTTATTGATGAATATGGACACGTCACATATTACTCGAGTCTCTACCTTACAGCTAGATGTAACTTCATTTATTTCGTATGTACTCGTATTTCGTATGTAAAAATTGCTACACGCACCTAGAAATTATTTTTGATAAATTTTATAAATATTTAAGAATATTAATTATATTTAGGATGAAGCGTTGCCTGTCTGGATTTAGATATTTCAAAATTTCTTTTCGAAGTTTGACACATGGTTAAATTTTCTCGCTGTAGCTAAAAGTGGCTTCCGGTTCCAGACGTCAATAATGTAGGAAACTTTGAAATTATTCTCGCTTAAGAAATCAAATATTACAATAGATTCAGACGGAGATGTGTGCTGATGTTTCTCAAATCTATACATAAAGGTATATTTCATATTATTATGCCGTATTTCCTGTGCGTGTGACACATTGATTTACAATATTTACAACACCAAGGCAGCTAATCTTTCTACTCAAAGCCGGAATATAGAGAAGGTTTGGACCTGAGTAAGTCACATACATGTCCTCAAGTTACGTTCAATAGACTCCATCCAATCTAATAATAGATATTTCATTTATTTACAAGTGTAAGTAACCTTGTAGGCTATTAATTAAATATATCTATTCTATTTATTATCCCATTCCAGAGATTTCTGGTTGTTATTGGGATTATTCATAGTACCATTAGGTACAGATATCATTTTATTACTTGATATATATTTATCTCTTGAGAGAGCTATAATTATTCCTTTTCTTCTATATTTCTGACACCTTATTGCACATAATAAACTTTACTCTGAGGATAAGACAGGAGTCAATAATATCCTTACCTTTCTTCTCCCATTATACAAGACAATTAGAGATGCCTAATGTTATTAGGGTCAGCATTATAGGCCCAAGTTTTGTTCGAAAAATAGAAGAATCTAACCAATTTGACTTTAAATTAAAGGAAGACATAGTTAACTATAATACCACCATTGTATATACAATTAAACAATTTCAAGATGATGTAAAATATAAAAATCCCTATCCAGATATGGCTATATTACAGCTAGGAAAAAATGATCTGGTTCATAGATCATCTACCTTTGTTCCAAAAATCTCATCACTTTGGCTGAACAATATTTAGATATACATCCTTCATTAAAAGCCTTTTACATTGGATAACTATTTCAACGCTCATGGCATCCTTTCAAATCCTCGATCAATACTGCTTCAGAATGCATTCAATATAATTCAATATTTTATCTACCAATTTCAAATTGTTATATGATATTCATCATCATAAGGGCAATAGACTTTTGTTCCTACATCACCCACATACCACCCAATATAGAATCAATGGTCAATTTTGATAGATGACTCCTACGATCCCATACATCTCAATGAAAAAGGGAAAAGCGTTTCGTCAAGTCCTGGAAAGGCGCAGTCCTGAGATTTCTTGATTACATTTATTAGGTAATAATAATTAGACTTAACATTAGAAGAGACGGCTACTCTTCTCTAACCAAACATAAGCCAGAGAGTCGTTAACCATTCACAATAGTTTATTCACTTAGTTTTCCTTCATAAGTACTATACTTATATTAGGAAATTTAGTTTCCTATTTACTTATATTTTATCATATTTATATTATGATAAATATATATTATTTTGTATATCATCTGCATTTATTCATGCAGTGTATACTATACCTTTAGACATGATATGTTATCATATTTATATTATGATAAAATTCATATTATTTTATATTTTATATGCATTTTTTCATGCATTGTATACTTTACCTTTATTCTTAAAGGTTATCATATTTATATTATGATAATTCATATTATTTTATATATCATATGCATTTATTCATGCATTGTATACTTTACCTTTATTCTTAAAGGTTATCATATTTATATTATGATAATTTATTTTTATATATCATATGCATTTATTTATGCAGTGTATTCTAAATCATATTTATTATGATTAGCCTTATGGGCATTTATTATGATTAGCCTTGTGGGCATCATATTTATATTATGATAATTCATAATCTTTATATATCATATGCATTTATTTATGCAGTGTATTCTAAATCATATTTATTATGATTAGCCTTATGGGCATCATATTTATATTATGATAATTCATAATCTTTATATATCATATGCATTTATTTATGCAGTGTATTCTAAATCATATTTATTATGATTAGCCTTATGGGCATCATATTTATATACATCTAACATGGAGCATGTGCTTCTATTTATATTTATCTAAATGTTTTTATGTCTTGAAGTTGCTTACCCTCTATATAACTACTAATTATTTCACTGCAAATGTCTGAAACTGAAGGACCTAACCCAAGTATTACTATAGAAGAGTATCACACTTCTAATACCCTGACTGCAGCCAAGTCTATGCCCACTTTAATAATAGGCAACTTTACAACAATTTTTCCCTTATCCCCTTTCCCTTCTTATTCCACTACATCTTCCATTCCAACCCAACATTTCATTCTCTCTAAATAGACCCACAGCATCTATTACTCGCCCTATTCCATCTTTTGCATCAAGCGCTAATATCCAACCCTACCCTTTCATCCCTCCAGTCTCTACTAACCTTTCATCTTTTCATAATTCCCAACCCGTCTCTACAGCTTATGGATTAATTCCCAACACAAATGCCATGCTACAAGGACAGGTGTCAGTAGCTTCAATGAATCCAATTCCCAGTTTTCAACATATTACATTACATTAATTTGTCCATATTTCAGATTTTGCGGATTTACTTTAATTCATTTCTATGATGTTCTTATATTTTGGTATTCATGTATTGATTCATGATTGTATTGAAGAAGACATAAACAATGATTATGTCCTCTGTGAGATGTAATCTGACAATTCTTTTGAATCAAGACATTTGAATTTAAACCCTTCAAAGAAGGGAAAATCCTTTCATTTCCAGAATGGGTCCGAGCATTCAGTATATTTATTGCTGTCTATACCCAAAGATTTCATGATCAAACCCCTCACCTCTTGAAATATATATCCCCTTGTCCCTTTAACCACACCTGCCCAACTTGCAAAATGTTACTCCCGCAACAACGGCAGGCAAGCCCAATTCCCCAACAAAAAGCGCTCAGGTACTGGAGACTCCAAAAAACCCTTCGAGTGAACTTATGTCAACACAAGTTGTTACTCCAGTTAAACCTGAAAGACTCAGATATTGGCTTGAAGGCTATGAACATCAAGAAGAAACAGTTCATGGTTTCTAGTACGGATTTAAATTTCCTCACTCTGATTTGCCAGAACATTACAACATTACTCATGATAATTTGTCATCATTTCTAAGAACCCAGAAGCTCTCAAAAAATTTAAACAAAGAGCTTTAAGCTGGTAGAATACTTGGACCTTTTGACCAGCCACCATTTGACATATGTTTGATATTATTTTGCCCTTATTTCTCGTTCCTAAAAATCTCCAGGTGAATTCTGTGTTATTCACAACTTATCACATCCCAGAGGCCAATCCATAATGATACTATCCCAGACGAAACTTCTACAGTTAAATATGCAACCGTACAACAAGCCATAGATATTATAAAACATTTAGGAAAAGGTTGCTTCTTGTGTAAGACTATTAGAAGCTTGTTTGCTCATGGAAATGGCAAAACAATCATTGACACTTTATGTAACATCATCCCCTTTACCATTAAGCCAAAACCAAAGAAAGTCTCAAAAAGAGAACTTTTATCTGCTATAGGATTCCTTAGCTACTGTTGTTGTGTGATTCCTTTCGGTAGATCATTTATTTCAATATCTATTCATCTATCTAAAAAATGAAAGAGCTACATTATAAAATCTTAATCAACACTCCATCTATGCAGGATTTATTAATGTGGAAATAGTTTCTAATTCCCTTTAATGGGAAATCTATTTTCCTTACAGAAGAACAAGAGACAAGAGAACAATTGCATCTTTTACCGATGCTTCTACTACGATAGGCTATGGAGCCGTTTGCAATAATATTTGGTTTAAAGGGGAATGTCCATCAGAATGGAAAGAATTGGACATCAATATTCTCGAATTATATCCTATTGTTACTGCTATACTTACATAGGCAAAACTTATGTCTGGACACACAGTTATCCTGCATTCTGACAATGAAGCAGTAGTGAACATACCGAAATAAATTTTCTACCAGCAATCAAACGTCCATGCAACTCTTACTTCCTATATATTAAAATGTCTCTTAAACAATATCATGTTCAAAGTGAACACATTGCTGGTATTCATAATTCTGCTGCTGACGCTTTATCTAGAAACAATTTATGTTATTTTTTATCTTTTAGAAGCACTTCAAGCTGCCCAAGCCCCATCTACCAGAAAGTCATATGATTTATTAGTACAGTTCAACTCCCAGACAGGTATAGGTGAATTTCCTCTAACCCCAGCCTCTGCTAGCCTTTTTGCAGCACATCTTCGTTTAAAGAATCATGCCCCTAATTCATTCAAGTCAGTTCTGTCTGGTATATCATATTTATCATATTTTCACAATTAACAATTTCAAGGATCCCACTACTTCTTATGTAGTCTCTCAAATAGTTTCCGGTTTTTGTAAACAAAATCCTAGCATAGACACTAGATTGCCAATCAACACAGCCTTGTTAAAACAAATGGTTTCTAAAACTTCTGAAGTAGATTTTGACCCTTTTGCTCAAGTCTTGTACAGAGCTATGTTATCTACAGCCTTTTTGGCTTACTAAGAAGTAGTGAGTTGACAAGTACTTCCGCAGGACACAACTTACAGTTAGAAAGTATTAAATTCTCTCCCGATGAAGCCTTTTTCATTATTACTTTTTCACATTTTAAACATAGCTCATCTCCTGCTACGATATCAATTAATTCTCAATTACCATCTTGTTGTCCAGTATTACATATGAAGTTGTACCTGAACATATGGTCCTTTAAATCAGGTCCTCTTTTCATTTATAGAGATGCTCCAGTGAAGACTTCTGTATTTAACAATTTTCTTCACAAACTCTTTGTTCAATGTCAGGTAGATCCTACCTTCTATAAATGCCACAGTTTGCGGATAGGCGGAGCTACATGGGCCACAAATCTTGGACTTGATGACTATACTATCAAAAGATTGGGAGATGACATACATACATACATTAAAAAATATATTAGGTAGACATTTATAAACTCATACTGGTGTCTAGTATGCATTTTTCATTAAAGCCCCAAAGCTGCTCAGACAGGTGTCGAGTATTCATTTTTCATGTAAACCCCAAAGTCGGCTCAAACAGGTGTCGAGCATGCAAATTTTAAGTAGCTACTGTTTTTTCTTCATGATGTACTAGAAATTTAATTGAGATAAACCCGCACTTTCTGAATTCAAAAATTTTCATTCAATTCTAATTCCTTTATCTTACCTGAGATTGACAGCATATTACATTACATTACATTAATTTGTCCATCCTTATTTCAGAATTTGCGGATTTACTTTAGTTCATTTCTATGATGTTCTTATATTTTGGTATTCATGTATCGATTTGTGTGTATCAATGAATGATTTAACTACTTTCTAATTAATCTTCTTTTCTTTTGGGCTCTCGCGAGAGATCGCGCATGGCCTTATTTTCGCCCAAGAAGATGAGTTGGAGATGGTATTATAATATATCCAATTGAGCTAATTAACAGTTATGTCAAAGTGTAAACTCTTGTAGCTAATTAACTTAAATTAGCCATTATTTTCCAAGGTATTGTGTTTTGTGTTAATTGGCTCAATATTTATTTATATTAATTTTATATTAATAATTTTACATGTACGACTCTCACGGCCATATCTATACTCTACATGAACATAAATTCAAATTATTGACAATAATTTCATTTATGGCAATGTGAGAGTCGGTTAAGGTTTAGGTATGAACAAGCCCTAAGAAGACCATTCCCCGGTTATCCCAGGTAAATGTTTCTGGTAAGTTACACTGAACGAAACATCAAGCTTCAGATCTCGAGAGTACGAGATGAGACTTCAGACGAGATATCGATAGGATTGTAGTTGGAGGGTTTTCTCCCTAGGTGCGTACAAAATCCATTAACATCAATGTAAGTTATACATTTCGATTCTTTTCCCTCACCTCCTTCCCCAGCTTACACCACCAGTTGGAGATTTATTTTCGCCCAAGAAGATGAGTTGGAGATGGTATTATAATATATCCAATTGAGCTAATTAACAGTTATGTCAAAGTGTAAACTCTTGTAGCTAATTAACTTAAATTAGCCATTATTTTCCAAGGTATTGTGTTTTGTGTTAATTGGCTCAATATTTATTTATATTAATTTTATATTAATAATTTTACATGTACGACTCTCACGGCCATATCTATACTCTACATGAACATAAAAGAAATTAGTTGATTAATTGATTAATTGAAGGTGAAGGTAGTAGGTTTAGGAAGGGTAAAACAATGCAAGCAATGATTTGAGATACAATAAAAATGTTCCCAAAACCATGTGTAGTAAGAGTTATGTGACGTCCAAATGTCACCAATTGTTGCTCTCCCCATATAAAAGAATTTGGAAATGTTGAGTTTGCTTTATCAAACTTTTACAAAAAACGAACATTATTGGTGCTTTCTCGTCAATATCATACCTGATTGTATCTTTGATAAATCCCCAAGCATCAAGCCCCGTGTCTTGGGGTGGTTGAATGGAGGATAGATGGAGCTGTTGCATGACTGGAGTTGCAGGCGGGTGGAGGAACAGACAAGTTTGAAGAGCTGCATATGCCTTGTTGACTACAGTCACCGAACTTGACTGCTGTAATGAAATAATGGAGTTTTAGAGGTTTACTGATAGAGTTAATACATAATGAGGTACAAGCACGAACATACAAAATGTCACCATCAGATATTTGTTACAGATGCCAAACGCTGTTACAGACTGCAACACCAACATCTGAATGCGAAACACTGAACATTGGCCACAAAAGTTGGAGACTATGACAATATGTCACAACTTCTGGTGGTAATATGAAAACTTGTCAATATCAGTCACTTTTCAAATTTAAGACTGAGTTAAGGCATTGTTTTTGGTCTGTCTGTCATTTTATTGAAAAGGCCAAAATGAAGCACATCAACACTCTTGGTTATTCTCTGACTTGGTATTACATCCAATTTATATAGAATTCAATCAATATGTTGTATTAGTCAGATTATTTCTATTACCAATAAAAATTCTGAGTAGTAAAATCATAAACAAGGCATCAACACGAAAAATGTCACCAACTGCCATTTGTTACAAACACTGAACCCCAACTGCTTTTACAAGAAAATAGACACCATAACAATGTGAGTTGGAGTTGTGTGTTATGATTATATAAAATGGTGAAATCTTTCTAATATGTACACGTATGTGCAGTAAAACCTCTTTTACCCTTTCCAAGACTGTTGACTTTCTAGCACTCTTAGGGACGGGGTCAAAATATCGATGTTCATATGGAGACGAAAGTACTTTCGCGAGGGGGGAGGGGGTTTTTGGGCACTTTCGTTGACCAAAAAAACATCGATAATTCGGATCTGATATACAAAAAATAATTGGACTTACCCACTTTTTCTGGCGCTATGATCTGATAAAAAGGCTTGTTTTCAATAGTTCGTGAGCTTTTTTGTGTGATAGGTCCAAAATATCGGTAGATAAAGACGATAATTCGATCATTTTTCAAATAAATTCCGTACTTTTCCCTCCTCCTTTTGAAGAGTTCAATGCAGTTAAATTGCGAACGTGTGTTAATTCACCGTAATAATAACCCGGCAAATAGGATTCGATTATGCCTCTCATAAATCAATGTTTTTTTGAAGTGACCTAAGCTTTCGTCTAGAGGGGGGGTGGGGGGGTTGTTGTCCAAACGAAATTACTTTCGTCTCCATATGAACATTGATATTTTGACCCCGCCCCTTACCATAACAGATAAACCTCTTAACCCTGCAATCAGAGCCTGTCATCCCTAAACAAGGCGTTAACATGCAAAATATCACCACCTGTCATTTGTTACAGATGCAGAATACCGAATACCAACCAATGAATGCCAAACACTATACACCAACCGCTGAACACCATCCACAAAAAAGTAGGAAACTACTAACAAAACTTGCGGTGATGACATAAAAACTCAACCGATTTTAAATAAGTAAACATTTATGTAGACTCCACAGTGTTCTCTGATTTGTTCAATCCCAAGCTGAAACATTATCAGTTCAAGTCAGAGGGTAATATTCTGGTTCATGACTTCAGGGTACAGCAACTTACCAAAAACAGGGAACACATCTCTGAGTCATGGGAATAATTCAATCAATATTATAGGTGATAAAAATTCTATTACTGATCAAAATTCCATGAGAAGTATCAAGTGATGAAATATGAACAAAATGCTTTGACGATGCCCCTATTTAGAAGGTTCTATTATTATATGAGACTCAATACAGAACTTACATGGTATTCACATTGGTGATATTAGCTTACATGGTATTCACATTTGTGATATTAGCTTACATGGTATTCACATTTGTGATATTAACTTACATGGTATTCACATTTGTGATATTAGCTTACATGGTATTCACATTTGTGATATTAGCTTACGTGCTATTCACATTTGTGATATAAGCTTACATGGTATTCACATTTGTGATATTAGCTTACATGGTATTCACATTTGTGATATTAACTTACATGGTATTCACATTTGTGATATTAGCTTATATGGTATTCACATTTGTGATATTAGCTTACATGGTATTCACATTTGTGATATTAGCTTACATGGTATTCACATTTGTGATATTAGCTTACATGGTATTCACATTTGTGATATTAGCTTACATGGTATTCACATTTGTGATATTAGCTTACATGGTATTCACATTTGTGATATTAACTTACATGGTATTCACATTTGTGATATTAGCTTATATGGTATTCACATTTGTGATATTAGCTTACATGGTATTCACATTTGTGATATTAGCTTACATGGTATTCACATTTGTGATATTAACTCTATAGAAGTGTTCCCATATCATATAATCATGTTTTATTGGTCTTTCTTGAAACCTCTTTTTGGAACACTTTTTGTTAGGACATGTCTATCTTGAAAACAAATACATATGGTGAACACCTCTCTAGTGAATTCTTCTCTCTGGTCTCTAAGAACACTTTTCTCTATTCTTTTTAGTCTTTAGTGAACATTTCTCTTTGATAAATACTTTTCTTTAGTAAACACTTCTCTTCAGTTAAAACACTCCTCTTTTGTAAACACTCTGTCTCTTTTGGAAGACTATTCTTTATTTAACACCTTTTTCCAGAACACTTCTCTGTAGTAAATACCTTCCTCTTGTAAACACTTCTTTCCAGAGAACACTTCTCTTTTTTGAACACTTATCCCTATTAAACACTTCTGTCAAAACACATCACTGTTTTAGTAATTAGGCTTCTCTCTAGAAAAGATTTATCTTGTGTTTGATAAAACATTTAACAAGGGTAAAAAAGACGAGGTTTCCTAGATCAAATGATCCAACCCTTAACAATAACATGATGAATTGTTTATACAAAAATCTATTTCCTATTATAATATTGTTGCTATGAAGTAAAAATAAAAGTAAATAAAAGAAAATTAAGAATATTACCTCATGTATCATTAACTTAAAGTGAGAATCTGTCATAGACTGGAAAATTGCAAGATATATATTTCCATATCATAGTTATAGCAACATTATCAATTCAATACCATGTAAAACATTCCAAAAAGATTTAATAATGATATTATATGCATAATTTTCAAAATGAGGAAGAGACCAAGCCAGGGACTGAGTATGACTTAAATATTAAACCTAGATAACAGCAACGCCAAAGCGTAGCAAATCTCATAGAACAGCCATGGGTGCCATTTTCACAAAATTAATTTTTCAGTTATGGTAAATATTGTAGAATGACACACATAAAAATGGTCACCATTTTCAAAATGGTTGCTCACTAGCCGAATTGTCATAAGAAAGTGTATTATGCTTCTAAGTAGGTACATATGCCAGTGATCTCCCCAGGATATTTTCTCAGGTAGGTGCAAAATTAGGACCCCACTTTGGCACTTTTTCTCAATTTAAACATCTCAAAAGTTTCTTCTACACTACATGGTGTATCAAAAAAAAACGCAACAAGTAGTTATCTTGTAAAATTACAAAACTAGTGATGACTACATCAATTTCATTTAATGTATCATAAAGCCACATCTCTCCTCTTTCCGATGATATGTCTATCATTCACATGTGATAATGGTTGGGTGAGAAATCCTTCCGTTTACACAGTGGGTCAAAATCGGCTCTTGGCCAAGTTTTAGATATTGCAAAAATCAGTGCAAAGGCTAAGTGCCAATGGAAGTTCCTCTGAATTGAATTGTTGTGACTTTTTCTTTTGGAGCTATCTCAGGAACATCTGTGCTCACAATTCCTCCACCAGATATTGCAAAACCTCGAGAAAGAATTGGCCATGGGCTGCTTTTCTCTGCTTTAACCCACAGATGACTCAGGGCTAAACCATGCATGACGTGGGCAGATGAGCGCATCTTTATGTGCAAGGAAGTGGTGGCAATTTGGAGAGGTATAGGATGTATTCTTGCAAGAATATGAGTATGGACACTTAACTGTCTTTGCCACACCTGTCACACCTTCTTCCAATAGCCCCTATGCCCTTTGTACTGGCTTTTGCAATTTTTAAAACTTGGGTCCGAGCTGAATTTTGCATGATTATTCGGCCAGTTATGACTCCCTGTGAATGAATGATATTCCATTTCAAAGAGGAGTAATTTGGCTTTTTGGTACATTGAATGAAAAGAATGCAGTCAGCATTGTTTTTTTGTTTTTTTCCAATATTGCATCAGGCTCTGTACACTGACTTTTGCGATGTTTATAACTTGGCCAAAAGCTAATTTTGGCCCACTTTACAAATGGAATGATTACTCGCCCAACCATGACCAAATACCAATGAATGATATATCATTGTAAAGAGGAGACACATGGCTTTATGGTGCATTGAATGAAATTAATGCTGTTATCATTGGTTTTGTGCTTTTCCGAGATAACAATCTGTTGCGTTTTTTTGATACGCACTGTATATTAACAACTTCTGAAAGGGGGATGGGTATTGAAATGCGCTAAAGTTAAAACCACATATCCCATTTCATTTTCCCATAGGGAAAATTCATGCTATACCATTCTACTTTTGAAGATGTTTTAGACCCCTTGTTGAAAAATCTTTTCATGCAATAAAAATCAGAAAAAGAAGATTCTCTTTTGAGTAAATAGGTTCAACATTTTGAAAAAATTGTTGACATGGGGTCCTTATTCATAATTTTTCAAATTGTTCAATTGATATTTTTATCACTATGAGGACTTCACTTGAAAGAAACATATTGTTTTAATAAAAACCACTGTATCTATGGCCAGAAAGTACTCATTGTGTTTTTGAGTTATCACCTGGACACACAAATGAATGGACGAATGGACGGACAAACAAACAGACGGACAACTCTCTATATCCCTACAAATTAGTTCTGTGGATAATTAAAACTTTTGTATGACATAATTCCATTCCATTTATACCTAAAAACTCCATCCCAGTTGATGAATCATGATTGGAAATTATTTTATAACACTACAGGGTATCACACTCTACAGTATAAGTACCCCCCCCCTTAAGGTCATATGCAAGTATAAAGTTAATATAAAATGGTTAGATGTTAGTAAGTTTAGATGTGTCAGGCTGAAGTG